GCCGGTGAGGGGCTTTAACGTGTCCCGTCTCCCCCCCCCCGGCCCCCGGGGCCCCGTAGTTATCGCTCCTGGGGTTTAAGATTGAGCTGTGCTTTCTTCTAATAAAAACCTGCCATCTTTCCACGCAGTTTTTACCCAGCAAGATCAGCGGTTTCGCTTGCCCCGCTGGAAACGCGTCCTGCGCTCTCAATTACAGCCCAGGTAAGGCATCGGTTTCTCTAATAAAAACCTGCCATCTTTCCACGCAGTTTTTACCCAGCAAGATCAGCGGTTTCGCTTGCCCCGCTGGAAACGCGTCCTGCGCTCTCAATTACAGCCCAGGTAAGGCATCGGTTTCTCACCCGGAGCGTCGGGTTTTTGGCTGTTCCCTTCCCGCAGCAGCTTGGGGAGGAAAACGTGACTCTTTCTTGCCCGCTGCCGTGTTTCTCCCCTGCAGAAGTCCCCTGCCCCGAGAGCTACCGGGCAGCGGGGGAACCTCGAGCCTTTGGCTCCAGCGCCAACGGGCAGTGGAGGGGCTTGGTTCCCCCTCTGGGCTCCGTGCCGCAGAAGCCGAGGGTGAGCCGAGGCTCTTACCTTGAAGCTCGCAAAAACCCCAGGTGCGTACGGCTCCCCTCCGCGTTCGGCCTTCCCCGGGGGAGCTTCGCGCGGGGGTTTTACCCCCCCCCACGAACCGTTGGTATCGATACAGAGTGAATTCAGGGCGGGAATAGTTGCGTGGGTCCAGGTTGGCTGGGCCTGTAGGTGCCTTTCGGTGTTTTATAAACCTCCCCGCGGCAAAGATGCTTCGTAAAGGGCGGGGAGCGCTGGTTTTGGGAGGGTACGGCGTGGCGTAACCTGCCCCTCACGGAAGCTAGTGGTGTCACGGATCGGTTTTGAGTGCTGGGGTGAGAACGGGGACGTCGTTACGCCGCTGGGAAACTGGGGGAGGAGTAGCACGTCGTCGTTTTGTGATGAAGACGTGCTGGTTAGCGCACGTGGCGCTGGGTGCAGGAGAGATTTTTGCAGCTGGTATAAACTCGCGTTGCTTCAGGTCTTTCCAGGCCGGGTTAAGTCTTTATGGCTCCTGAAAATCCCCGCAGTGGCCAACGTTTGACTGCAAAGAGGGAAAATTAATTTCAAGGGGAGAAATGCCAAGTCGGCCCGTGTATTTTTTCTCCGTGGGAGCGGGGAGAAGCAGGGCGAGGGAGGGTATCTGCTGTTACCGACAAAGAATAATGCCGAGAGCGGTGTCTCCAGGCGAGGTTCAGCCATTTTGTGGTGCGTGGATGGAAGCGGGAGCTGATGGATCTGGCGGGAAGGTCTGGCCGGGGGTTTCCAGGCTGTGGCTCCTCGGCCTCGCAGTGCCACCTGGTGGCATCTGTTTGGCCGCACAGGCCTCGGGAACGGTTTCGGATCGAGCTGGTGGAGAGAGCCAGCCTTCAGCTTTGAGACGGTCCTTAAAACACGCATAAAATACCGATTTCTGACCACAATTGGGTAGCCTTGCTCTTGGCTAC